TAGTAACAGGTTTTGATCAAGTTTTAATGTCTTTTAAAAAAAATTGAGAGAGGTATACATATATCAAAAAATGTTGTCCATTTGACTTGCGTGCTAAATTATTTTTTGAAGCAGGTGACGAATAGACAAAATTTAGGTCATCATTAAAAAAAAAAAAAACTTGTGCTGTAGCTATCACATATATATCACAAAGATTGGGCATTTCTACACATTACATCAGGTTGGACATCAAACATTGTTGGTTCTTGTGTTTCTTGGGACCAAATATCTTTGATATCAAACATGGTATTTATATATTTTGCCTTCATGTATTATATGATCTAGAGGGAATCTGTTTCTTGGGGTTGGAGGGTATTGGTTGACTGATATTGGTTTTTTGACAGCCGATGCCGATATCTTGGTAAGCAGGGTGGCTGATATAAAGCCGATATAATTGTATTTATTTTAATTAATATTTAAGAAATTTAAAAATAATTTGAAAATGGATTAAAAAATAAATGTGTTAAATAAACATACTTATACTTTAGATGACAAAGTATTTTTCACAAATAAATAAATATTTAATAAAAAGTATAATAAAAAAAAAAGGAAGTAAACACTGTAACCAACAGGGCACTCAGTATTCTGGGAAGTTTGTGTGCATTGGGAATCATATTTTTTCAAATAAAGCTAAGGCAACACTCATTTTACATACAGCACACAGTGAAAATGACATTAATATGGCAGTGGGCAAATGCATAAAGCGCAGCATAATTTAAAATCAGTCACGAGTTTAAAGTTTGTCGATCGCGAGTCTCCAGTGAAGCTGAACTCTCCTCCTGTCAGCATTCCATTCACACGGATCGACGGAAGAGAACACGCGATCATGCAGGATACAAATGCACACTTCACAAGATCTCACAACTGGATCCGACTAAAGGCCCTTTCACACGGGACGCGGCAAGCGGTGGAATCGCCGCACGGCTGCCGCTTTCTCTTGTAGTGGAAGCGTTTTGTGCAGTGGCGGTGGTCGCGTTAAAACATAACGGAAATTTGTGTTTGTGTCATTCTGCCATTAATTGTTGTCATTATTAACCTTTTTTTCCCCCTTTGGCACAAGTGAAGTTGTTTTTGATGACTTGCCTAAAGAGCATACCTGTGAGGTTACGATTGAATGAATTATAATTTTATTTATGTCTCTTGATAAGATTTTAGATGGGTCATACAGTTCTGGGAAATCTACACTTAAAACAATCTTCTCCTCTATTTTTTCAATAGGCAGTTCGGTTAAATGTTCACTGATTGGTTGAAACCGACGCCAAGCGCCGTGCCCGTGGAAGCGGCAGGATTTTGGGTGCACGAGCACCGCTTGCGCTCCGCCTCCGCACCGCCAGCGAAACCGCCCGCGTTCTGCCGCTTTCTGCATGTCTCCCATTGAGAATGTACTAGACACTCGCGACTGCCGCGTACCGTGTGAAAGGGCCTTTAGACAGAACTGTTAACGACGACAGCGAACAAAAGGGAGAATGTGAGCACTGTGTGCTCAGGTGCTGCCACTCTCAGCGCCGTCAAAATAAAAGTCCCGCCTCGAGCGCATCGGCTAAACAGGAAAACTTATCGGCCGATTTAATTAAATCATAGCGTTTGTAAATTCACAGTTATGCTTAATTATGAAAATTATTTTTAAACAGGCTTAATATATCATGCAGCCTTGGAAAAAAGTAATAATGTTTTAGGGATTCTTGTCCGTGAAATGCTGCACTTCCGGTATTTTGGCGGTTAGTGACGCAGGCAATATGAAGTCGATGATTTTTTAAAATCGAATAGTTGAATAGAATCGACGAATCGCGACAGCCCTAATGCCGATATTTAAAAAATGCCGATATATCGGTCGACCACTATTGCAGAGCAATAAACTTTTATTTATTTATTTATTTTTATAATGTGACGGTAGAACACATAGCCGAACAGCATCTCCTGGTGTATAATTTTGCCTTCACGCTTAGTTTCTATTAATGTTATTGTATTTAGGCAGATAGCGTGTCTTTCTTTAAAGCAGGCAGATAGCATGTCTTTCTTTAAAGCTTTAAAATTTAAGCCCTATGCCTATTTTCCACTGTTTTCGAAAGTATTGTGCTAGTGACCACGTGGCCTGGTCATATGTAGAACTGAGTCATACAGCACGATTTCTGTAATCAATCACCTCGCATTCTCTGACATGGAGGGCTATAATCAGTTTGATTTGTTCATTTGTTTCAAATGTTTGCACTAATCTTACACCCGCCAGAGACTCTTGGCCCTCCATATTTTCTTGTTGCATTAGTAACTGCCTGTCACTCACATAACCTCTCAATTGCTGTTTTTGTTCTCAAGATAGCGGAACATTAAACCTGGACTTCAATTTGCTGCTTGACAAGCCAGGCAGGTTTACAGGCCTGAAACATGTTGCACGGAGCAGAATTGGCTTTTTTTTGTATTGAAAGCATAATAGTCATAATGAAGCAATTGAGGGAAAAACGCTTTGGTCTTCCAGCCGCCATTGACATTGAGATTATAGATCAGCTAGTCAGTTGGTCTCCATATAGAAAAGACTAATGAGCCACAAAACAAAACCACATTCAGCCTAATATGTGAAGCTGTGGGAGATCTTTCATACTCGCGTTTCCCTTCTGCATGCTCATGGAGCACATAGGAATCGATTCACATCATCAGTGTTAAGGCTAAATTTGAAGTTGTTCTTCAATATACAAACTTGAAGTATTGACCGAATGCAAATAAATGAGCCCTCCCCAAACACACTTTAATGCTGGTGGGCAGATCTCTGAGATTGCAGTGCAGCGCATGGCTCTGCAAGAAAAATAAGGGTGCACTAATGTGGTCAGTCATCAAAGGGCTCTGGTAAACACAGGAGCTCTTTGACAAATGAAAGCCCCAGCTCTTTGATGAAGGGGGTTAGTGGCCGTGGCACTAAGCATATGATATTCTCGACTTAATGTGTGCATGAAGAGAGAGAGCCAGTGTCGCTGTCCTTGCCATTGTGTGTGCATGTGCGCAGCTGGACTCAAGGCCTGATAAAAATGCACAGCAGTAAATCCTTTCATGAGCTGGGTGATGGCGTGTTAAGACACGGGTGAGGGTTCTTAACGCGCCTCTCGTGCTGAGAACCAGCACTGGCAGGATGTGACATGCCAGCTCCTCCGGTTTGCATCATCATTCAGTCAACCACAGCTATTCCTCCAGCACCATTAACATTCAGATGGAGAGAGATGCGCCTAGTCTGGAGAAGGACTCTGGGATTGATGAGGTCAGACCGTTACCCCTGCAGTTGCAATCACACCCCCAACTGCTCTTCATCCTCCCTCTCCAAACTGTACTTGGGGAGCATTTGGTCAGCACACTCAGATGCCATTTCTCCATTCTTCTAGCTGTTTTGGGGACTTCTGCCTTCTGTTGCATGTACTTCAGTTATTTAGTAAATGCGCTAGATGCACTTAAATATCAGTGGCAGCATAATTGTGACAATCCTGTTGTCTTCCAGATGGACGGAGAAATAGCTTGTCCTTCAACTTTTGGCTTTGTATACGCTGCTGGACTCTCAAAAGTACATTTGGCTTATTTTGATGTATGGCACTTTGACTGATAAGTGCTCTTCCGGCTGTCCTTACAAACCTAAGCGGATTGCTTCTATTTTAGAGATTTCCTCAGAAGCCCAACGTAAAATAACCCAATTGACCAAGATCAAACATGAAAAATTATGCCTTTTTTCCTCTGGGAAACTTGGCCACTCTCCACAACAATTTAAAGTAAGAGATAGATCTACTGATTCCCATTTCCCTGGCACTCCTCCTCTGTGCCCTTGGGAGATCAGACTTGCTTGCCGTACACATTGTATCAGGGACGCAGGAAGTAGGGGTGCTGAGGGGGCTGCAGCACCCCCTGTTTTCACATGGGTGCAAATGCAACGCCAAGTTTGTTCATTTAAATTTATTCAGTTTTAGCATTTAATAATTTATTTGTAATGATCTCTGAAACGTAAATTGTAAGTGGGCTATAATAAACCCATGTTTATCTTTATAAACATGATAAATTTTACTTGTGATGTTTTCTATATGGGATGATTAGCCTAATCCTCATGAACACGTGACGCTGGCGCGTGGTATCAGACATGAACTATACAGAATGCGAACAAGATTAACTTTAATACAAGGCGATAATGGCGCAAAAGTGAATTTCAGATTTATTTTTACATTCCCATCCCAGCAAAAACTTTCCTAAATCGGCATCCAAACAACACCAGCCCCAGCACGAGCACTGACATAAGTGAACCAGCCCACCCCCCCACCCTTTCACCCAACACAGACACACACAGCACCCCCAACCGAAAACATCTTCTCGTGCCCCTGCATTGTATTGTCTTATTTTTAATGGTCTGTATTGGTAGTATTATTGTTCCTATGGATGACTTTACAAAGTTTCCTCGCCACTGATTAATAGAGTTTCAAGTTGGAGTATGAAGTAACCGTTCTCAAACTGTAGCTGAAGAGGAAAAAGGCACTTATTTATACCTTTGCCTCAGTGGATTCGGCTGTTTCCATAAAAGGAATCAATTATGCCAGCCCTGGCCTTTGATTTAATAATTCCAAGCTTTGAGGACATAATTAATTCTGATGGGTAAATCATACTGGAGAGCGGGAACTGGATTAAGGAGCAAATTAAGATACCACATCAACAGGGCACACTGATTCATTAAAGGCCTTGTTTTACATGAGGAGAGAGGAGAGAGACAGTGGCTTCATGTAAAACTTGAAATGTTCATCTTTGAAAAGATTCACCAATTCAGTGAATGTGCTGTTAGCCAGATGTAGCAAACGCACAGAGTAACAATTTTCAAAAGTGGCTTTTTTTAAGTGGTACCTTCAATTAAAAAAATAAAGCTTGATGAATAGATGTGCAAGTAGCTTCGAAATCACCAACCCTCACCCTTTCCTCCTTAAGTCATTGTTTGTCATTTAAGGTTTTCTTCTTTGCGGACACCCACACACTCACAGGGCTCGAATGCATAAAACACACAGTCCCTTTTCTCTTCACCAGAGGGCAGCATGGCTCCATATCATTGCAGTTTGGGTGTATCTCAGGAGAAAGACTCTTGTGTGCATTCAACATCTCCTTGACTTGTCATGGAATTGATAAACATATCAAGGATTCATTACTCTATCTAACCTTGGCTCTGTAGGACAGTGTCCTTACTGTGGTCATGAATGTGCAGTGAGAACAATTTTCAGAGTTTATTTCCAAAAAAGAAAAAAAAAATGTTATATTGAAATATTTTAAATTAAATTGTTATATTTAATAAAATTGTAATAATATATATTAAATGTATTTTTGTTTGTTTCTACAGGAGGACATGAACCTGAATGAAGAGCGTAAAGCCCCCCTGCGAGGGAAGGACCTGAGCACTAAACGGGAGATGGTGGTCCAGTACATTTCTGCAACAGCCAAATCTGTAAGTGCGCCACAAAACACAGGGTGGCCGGTCTTAGAAAGAGAGAAACAGACAGAGGAGAGAGTGGGGATGAACCACATGACGAGACACTATGGAATAATGAGCTTAACCTGATCTGCCTTCTGCCTCTCTCGCTAAAGCCCCAAATCTTTGATTGCTGCCTCCGTTTTATTATTTATTCTTATTTATTTATTTTGTATTTTTTTCTCCTCTCACATTTTTTTTCCTGGGTGCTTATCAGGCTGCTTTTGTTGTATTGCACTTTCCAAACGGGGATCAAGTTTTCATTAGAATTTGGTACGCATCACTGTCTCTGCTCAGTAAGCTGAAACATGGCTCTTTCATCAGCGCAGATGAATAAAGGCTAGAACGCCACCGCCTCACGGGGTAATCCAAGGCTTTTGGAGCGAATTCTCTTCATTCCCTTTATGAAGTAGGTCCAGCCGAGGTTAGACTCCATGTAAACCCCACGATCCCCTTCACCCACTCCACTGCTGGCTCCTCTGGCTGGCCTTCAGCATCTGTTTTCATTAGCTTTCCTCCCGGCTATGATAATTAATCAGCATTATTAATAATGATGATAATCAGAGATGATTGAATTCTGCAGCAGGCTCATTGTCAGCCCTGCGAGCCTGGCATGTATTGTGAAATATGATTCACATATTAGTATTGTAGTCTCAAAGCAGGAAGGAGGAGGGGTTTCCTGTCTCTCTACACCCCTGTAGCCCCCTCAGCACCACCAGAGGCACTCACCAGCAGCATGTCACTGTGGAAGCTATACACAGTGCTCTGACAAGCAAGGAGGAGGTTTGGAACGTGTGCTCTGCATTCTAAGGAAGAGATGTGCTTTTATGTGATAAGAGATGTTTACCACAGGCACAACACACTTTTCCCTGTAATGCTCAACTGTAGCACCCAGAGATCTCCTCCTCCTCTTTTAAACATTCAGCTCAAGCTACTAACCAAGCTGCATACCATATCTGCATACTGCCGATTTTGTGGGAGTAGTGCAAATATTCAGCCTTTTTCAAATTATATTACTGTTTCTTTTTATAATATTGTTGAATATGACAGATTGAATGTATTGAACTTTAAGCCAGTGCTATTATAGGTGGGGAAAAGTCTTCTCTGATTATTTATAAAGTGCCCTTGTCTTTTATGATTTTTGATATTTACCGATCAAATAGCATTTATGGCTCTTTCTGGTGACGAACATTGGCAATCAATATGAAACTGTATATGTATCCATTTACTTCTGTAATGTGATATTTTTTCTGAGTGAAATGGTAAAGAAAAAGCAGTAGGATTGCCTCTATCCATCAGAATTTTTTTTTTGCATCATAAAAACTGGTTGGAGGGGAGAGATTGAAAAATTGGTGATGTTAAGAATTAAATTTGAGAAATGTTATTCAGGGTTCCCATAGTCATTCAAATAAAATTATACTATTTTTTTTTTTTTTCCAGGCCTGAAAGTTTTTTTTTTTTTTTTTTTTGAATAAAGATGGGAAATTTTGGTAGTGATTTTGTTTTCTAGCTGTACTCAGCTCTACAATGTTTCATTGACAATAATTTGCCCTTCTATTGCTAAAAAACATTATTCAGAAAGCACAGAAAAATATTGGACATTAGTTTAAATTAGACTTTGGACATTAGTTTAAAATGAACATTAGATTTAAACCCTGGTTATTTTGCTAAAAGATCACAACATTTTTGTTTATTTTAGTTATTTTTTAGACTTATAGCATATGTATTGAGAAAATAAATAGGTCGATTTTGATTCCATGTTGATTTATATAATGTTTTAAAATTTCACGGCTGTCAGAAGCATGAGATGGCAGATGTAGCAAATCTTTTTTGCTACAAGTGTTTTTTCACTTGACTACTGTAAATAAAACCGTCATATTCTGTTTTCCTGCCAGAGATCACTCTCGGAATCATTGTGCGAATGCACTTTCTTTGTATGTCGAGTAGCTACCAAGGGTGTTTTCGAGTTGCGAATTTTTTCGAGTTGCGACTAATGCTTACACGCACACTGACACACGTCCAGAGAAAGTCACTCCTGTGCTGTCCGTCTCAGACTGCACTGGGTCAGTGTCCTCTCTTTGGTTGGCAAGTGGGAGTAATTAAATGGTGGTCTGGCGGTAGAGGAGGCCCTTGGTCTTCGCTTGAGCCACTGCAGGTGTAATTTAGCAGGGGTGAACGGGACCAAGAGTAGACAGCATGGAGACGGCCTCTGCACACCTCTGCATTAATAACCCAAACCCATCTAAATAAAAGAAGGGAGAGCGGAGTCCATCCATCCCACTTAATCTGCTGCTATCTCCCCGAGTGTGCCAATCTGCCTACAGTAGATTGTGTTTCAGCACACAGCTTTACAGAGCAAATATTAGTGGGAAAACAAACCCATCCGATCCACTCCTGTCGCAGCCTGCCTTCTTGCCTGTCTGTGTGCGGCAGACTCCCACAGCTCCTGCCTTGCAGGAGGGCAGAGTGATGAAATAAAAGAAGGATGGAAGAATAGAGAAGTTTCACACCAGCGATGTCTGTCCTCTTTGATAGCTCAGATATTATTGCTTGCTTGACAGAAACTTGCAGCTCCCATGGTTAACAGCTCCTTTTATTATTTACAGCTAACACCTCTTTCCTTGCAACACATTTGTGCATGCTTTCATTATATTATGTGATCACACCTTTTTAGTTTGTTCACACTGAACATTTGTGAATAGCTATTTGCCAAAAAAAGTAATATATAAAATGCATATTTATCATTATCATTAAGTCCTTTGCATGGCTTTTGGGGTTTTTTGTTTTTGTCTTTTTTGAGAAACAAGCATTTTCTTCTTGGAGGCATCCACTTGAGTCCTTCAGCATGCAAAACTAAGAGCCCTCATCACACTTTACAGAGGGTATCAGTAGGATACTTTTAAATGACTGCCTCCACAAACTATAATGTCTTTTTAAGGGAAAGTGCCTTTGCATTTAAATACTCAAATACATACGAAATAAATATTTAAATACATAGTCCTCACAGAAACATATTATTGTTTAAAAAAATAAGTAAAAAATGCATTAATTTGAATTAGTACTTCACGCACGAAGCTGTTTGATGTGACATAAATATTTACATAATTTCACAAAATAATAGCTGTATTTTTTCCTGTGATCTGTGTAATCAGCCTTTGCTTGTGGAGGTGGCACACAATATTAAGAATCCAGGGTGTGTAGCTTTTAAATAATAATGTATTTATTTTGTTTTGTGGAATATGTAAATATGATGTTATTAAATGTTATTTGTTATTTATTATTATTATTTAAATGTATTTATCTTATTTGTAAGAGTTTCATTTTCATGTCCTTTTAAAAATGCTAAATATCATTTGCTAAATAATTTTCCAGGGAGTATGTAACCTGAGCATAACTGTAAGCCACATGCATTGAAAACCAATGTTGCCTTGATGCTCTGCAGATGTCCTTGACCGTTAGCTTTTCATGAAATGCTTTCTCTCTTTTTCAGTCTCTGACAGGTGTGTCATTGTCCTCACGAGTGCCAAAGCATGCCTACAACTAACACAGTCATTTCCCTCTCGCTCTGTCAGTGTCGTGAAAAGCTTTGACTTTGCTTTACTGTTTCGCTCTTAAATTAAATTATTTATATAAGGAACGGAATGTGTCTAGGCAGGGTCTTTGAAGGGGAAGGAAAAGATTTCTTACCCAGGATAGTCACCTAAACATTGTCAAAACTGTGGTATTACAGAGATTTTGAAATGGAATGGAAACTTAATTACAGCACAAGTTGTCGTAATCGTTTATGACAGTTTTTGAGCGATGATCTGATCCTGTCTAGGATACAGGAGCTAATAAATAAATGACTAAATGAGTAGATTTGTATCATGGGGCATTTGATGGTCATGGGAAGAGCTGGAACGAGGATATAAATACCCGTCTCTTGATATGATGACATTTCTTCAGAAGTTTGTTTACAGGAGCTACTTCATAATAGAGCTTCTTCATAATTAGCATATTACATGACTGCCTAATTCTGCATTACAACAGTTTCCATCATCTGGTTTAAGTTTTCTTTTTTTTTTTCCCACTCTCCATGCTCCTCAGGAATTGACAGCATTAATACCACAGTAAAGTGACAATGAGGTGTTGTTTTGTGAAATTTGTGTTAGCAGCAGCTTTTCCCCTCAGGCTCCTCCCTGACAGTTCTTTATGGGGTTTCAAGATAATGTCTGTTCTTTTGATCAAGCTGCAGTAAAAATACAACATTAATCAAACCCAGCCAAACATGGCACAGTGCTAACAATATTTGGCAGCTGTCCAGCACGTCTGGTGAAAGCAAAAGCAGGTGACTTTTTTGCTTTGAGTCAAGACCCAAACCCTTATCGATTCTTTTGAGCATATTTGCTTGGGATATGGAAAATTGGACTCGAAAATAGCACTCTATCAAGAGGTTACTCTGTTAAAATTGACTTTATTATAAACCTTGATTTTAAAAATGTGATCGTGGGAGTTTAAAACAAAAACCAAGGACAGCTATGTTAAAACAAAAAGAACAGATTACAATGTATTTAAATTTAAATTTAGAAATGCATTCGGTTTTGTGTTTCGAAGGAATTGAGAATTGTTTGAGTTAAATCTGCTATTACATCAGTTTCAGTTGTACACACAATTCTGCTCTCAGAGAGAGAGAGAAAAACCTTTCTAAATATTCATCCTAGTAATTGTCATTATGGCATGGTCAAGAAAAAAAAAACATGCTGACTTCATCAATCTCTGAGCTGTGATGTATAATTTGACACTTGATAGAAACTACCAATGACATTTGATTGATTTTTGGCCTTTGGAGGCATTTTAGGAGACCATCTGCTCATGAATAAAATACCACGTTTGGGTTAATTTTGTAAAAAATGTACTAGATTCTTACAAAATTTTATTGAGTGATGATTATTTGAGGATATTTGTACTGCTTGTCAAAAAAATTCCCTTAATAGAGAAACCGCTTGATTGTCATGAAGTAGCCTAATGATTTGCGGTTTAGAAACAATAGATTGTTGAGATGGGGCATTCTTTTATATCCTTTAAAACATGACATTTTTGCATCAATCATTTCATCAGATGTTTTTTTTTTGTTTTGTTTCTCTGCACTCATTATGCAAAACCAATGAGCGACCAGAGAGCCACTTTTAAAAATTCAATTGGAGATAAATTCATAATGATCTTTATGTTCCAAGCAGTCATCAAAATGGCAGACATTGTCTTTAGTGTCCGTCTGAACCCTCTCTCTCCACCCTGTTAATTTGTGTGTAATTCTCAGATGAGTAGGCAGCGTAGCAGAGAGGGCCAGTGTGCCAGCCATTTAAGTATAAGCTCTAATACTTCAACAGGATAGTACCGGAGAGATTCTGGCCTACTAATGATTGTGCTGTTTGTGTCTTTTTGCACATTAACTACCCTCCGCTGACCGCTGCATGCAGATAACTGGGAGCAAAGTTGCGGTAAGTAACACAATTATTTATTAACTTTTGATTTGTTGTTGTGCAATCTCTCTGTCTTTGCTGTATCTTTCTCTCTCTTCTTCTTCCTTTTTTTTTTGAAAATATCTAGAAAAGTAATCTCTATGGCTTTCGATTTCTATTTTATTTTCAGCATTAGTGTAGTTTATAGGCTATAATTTGAAAAAGTTCTATTTTTTTTCTCCCAATCTCTGCATGTAAATTGCACATTTAGAAATGAGTGATTTCTCAATTGTGCTCTCTGAGAATAAACTAGGACCTTTTTTTGTTAGTTTAAGCAGTTTTTCTTTGAAATGGATCACTGCCTAACAGATATTAGCATTTAAATATTGTAACATCAGGGATGAGCAATAGTTTTTAGGCAAATAATCATAATCTGTGATCTAATCTGTTTATTCTAATGTTCTGTATATAAATGGGTTTCATTGTGTTCATTCTTCCCCCTCCCAGACAGCGTTCTGAGAATGTATCACTTAATTAGATTTTCCCACACACACACGTACCATGTTGATTGAACAGCAGAAAAGATATTGAGTGCACCCCCTACCCCCCATCCTATAAATATGTTCCATTTTGCAGTTGGACGTTCAGCACAGCCCATTTGCAAACCATGTCTTTGTCCCAGTCACATTACAGCATGTCACTATTGTTTCTGAAATGTTCATAGCTGCTCATGTTGTTATTGTCACTTACTTTCGCCCCTTGCCCCCCACTTTCTCCAAAATGACAGTAATAATCTTTATAAATATATACTGTCTGGGTGATGGCAATGTTTCCTCATTTCACAGCTCCGTAATGCTGTAATTGCAGACTGGCTTCTACTATTTCATGTAGTGCGGTCCCATAGCCCATATGAGGCTGCTTGTTATTTGTTTTATTTTATTTATTTAGAGGGGCTCCATTATTGCCTTCGCAAGTGTCACTTGTCATTTAAAATGCTGTTTTATTGTGTTGCCGAAGCTATGAGAAAGGCCCGTAGATGTACGTGAGGAAGCTTGAAGATAAGGTAGCACAGGTAAATGTTGTTATTTACAATACAGCAATAAGCTGCCACAACAGACTCATTTATTTGTAGCGAAATGGCCCGTTCAATCAGTGCTCTCATGCCGCTTGGCATAGAATTGTGTGTCGAGTGATTTTTCTATAAACTGTCAGCAATAAAACATGCTTGATGCTGATGAGCATGGAAGTATGTTTTGAATGTTGCATCACTTCTTAGGATAGAGCAGGAAGGTTACTCTGGGATTGTCTCTATCGAAGAACTGTCTGACAGCATGCACCACAAACAAGTCCTCTCATTTGGAAGTTTCTCACAGTTCAGAGGTTCCTGTACTTCCTGCCATTTTATCTGACTTCTGCATGCACTTCCTACAGATGGGAGAGTGTGAGGGCTTGCAGGGAAGCTGTCAGCTCTCATTCTCCTTGTTTCTGTTTCTCTCTTTCCCAATATCCCACCTTTATTGGGTTTTATTGTGGAAACTACGTTCAGTGGGGCCAAGATGACGGCCTCTCACTGGGCAGATTGCTATTTCCACGCTGTCAGTGCGGTTTGGAGGCAGACCGACCTGCCTGAGCCACATCATCCTCAGGGATGAAATCTCTCCGGCACGCTCTCACAGGGCTCAGATTCACTGGTCAGCATGTCCGCATGCTGCTGAGTCACATGCGCTTCAGCAGTTTTGTATCAGTGCAGCTTGATTGTGATGATGATGGTGACCCAAGGGGGCATAGGCATACCTGCCGCCCCGCCACGGTGTCCGATTGATCAGAGATGTTGGTGCTTTGATTGTCAGGCTAAGGATGATAGTTTGTGTGTCAAAATGCCCACGTTTTATCGACATGGAATTGATGAGCCCCTCTGTGAGGGAATGGAAGACTGCAGCTCCCTGTGCTTAAATAAAACACAACCAACACACAGATAACCCAGTCAGTGTTTGGCCCTGAAGACTGTTCCACCGTTACCTGTTAAGGTCACATGACTTGACCTGCAAAGCTTCTCTAGACCTCAGGAGGAGATCAATAATCACAAAGTCAGCCCAGCAGTTAGTAAAGACTGCCTGTTTCCACGGAAACATGGCGACACGTTCAGAGTTGTGGGCAGAGAGAGAGAGAGGAGTCGCTGAGACCTCAGGTACTGGAGTCTGCTAGGACTGTTAGAGTTCAGCTGCTCTCTGAGAATCCCTGGTATTGTCGGCGAAAGAATAATAGACAAAGCTTGTATTTTAGAAATGATTTAGCTTCTTTGCACATGGGACAAAGACTTGGCCCTTTCTCGGGTGAAATGTCATGGATCTTGCAGTCATGCTAAAGTGTGTTGTGCTTAAATACTCTCTTTGGAACCAAAGAGTCTTGAAAAGCATATGTGGAAAAAGAGCAAAACCCTGGCGAAGAAAGATGACATTTGTCTATTGGTTTCCATCACAAGTGTTTTTATTTTGCACAAAACAAGTTTGGTCGTTAGTATCTAGGATATTTTTACAGTCTGATGATGATTTTTATTTAAATTGCAGGCATGTTCAAGTCTTGTCTGAAGTGTCATATTTACGAGTTGAAGGTACATGAATGGCACCACGAAGCCGTTACATTACAAGTGGGAAAATTCTGAACTTTCATTAAGCCCTGAGTTTACGAGTCAGGGTCTTGTTAGTGCGAAAATATGGCAGACACAATATGCAGCATTTGTATTGATGTAAAATTAGTTGAAATGGAACTTTTTTTTGCAATAAAACTAGCAAAAAATCAGATTTACATAATATAATAGTATTGAGCATATATGATATATAACGATTCAGTTAATAGCGCCTTCAAACATTTATTAAAAACACCTGATTTGTTATCATTTTTTAGAAGTAGAGGTAAAAAAATCTTTTTTTTTTTTGTAGAAAAGGTACATCTTGCTCTGATCAAAGTGATTGAGCTTGATTATGATGGTTTTCCATTATATTGTATGGTAATGATTTACCTCCTTGCTCTTAAAATGTCCAAAGAAAGCTTGTTTTTGTGAGAGTTCAACTTTCCTTCAAATTATTTCTTAATTTGTGTTTCTTTCTATTATCTTTGCTGTGTGCTGCATTATGGGTAACGTTGAATATCCAATACAAGCTCTCCAAGGCTTTTGTTGGAGTTCAGTAGAGTAGTAGATCGCCTCTCCTTCCTCGCTTTTTTGTCTCCTTCGCTTCTGTATAGTCCACAGAATTTGTATTCCCAGGCAAATTAATATCCTTGGCATTTGTGTGGGGCTCCACTTGTTTCATTGGTAGACTTTATACCCAGTATACTCCTGTTCCAAAGCTCATCTCTACCACGGCCATACAGGCTCATTATAAGCACCTGTTTAAAGGCTTTTCTGAAGTGAGGGTGCACGTGCACCATGTCCTTTTTCACTCGCTCTGGAGAGGGCCCCTTTTAAAAATACTAAGTTTGAATAAAATTAAGGACAGCCCATCCCCACCTATTACGCCTGAGTCTGAAAGGGTCTCTTTGTTTCTGTTTTGCAATTAATGTTGATTGCGTACTGGAGGCTGAACTGATTTGATAAGAAGTCTTAGGAAGCAGAAAGAAAGTTTGCCCTATGGAAAAATAAATCGAATAACCCCCTCTGAACCTGGCCATCATTTTTATAGATACATTTTAATTAGGATGAAGGAACTGTGTTGAAAGAATATAAGTTCTATGTGATGTTTTTTTCTTAGTTGATTTTTATTTATTTAAAAAAATTTGTCCGTAAATATTTAGTTGTGATAAATATTGATGTGATTTAAGAGCAGGTTTTACTAAAACATTTTTTTGTTACAGTTCTGTGAGGTGTTATTTTACTATTTTTATGTGCTATTATAATATAGTAACCTTTATTATATTTTCAGTTTATTTTAATTTTAGTTTGACTAATCTTATGTGCTTTTGTCATTTTTATTAGTCATTTTATTGTCAATTCTATTTAGTTTTATATTTAGTACTCCAATTAAAACTTTATTTTTAGTTGCCACATTTCTATATAATTTAAGTTGCGTCTAATATTTATATTTTATTTTATTAATATATTTTGTATATGTCATTTACCAAAACAGTTTTTTTTTCATAGTTTTAGTTATAGCAACATTGATTCTGTGTGTTTTTATTTACATCATTATCTGCTATTGCAGTTTTTTTCTTGATAACTGTTTGAATACCCAATGCTGGCTATGGGAATATATGCTGGATGGGAATATGTATATATGTATATGTGTATGTATGTATATGTATATGTGTATATGTATGTATGGATGTATGTATTTATTTATTTATTTTTATTTTTTTTTAAGTGGGAATAACCAGTGTAAAATGCACAATTCTGGGGTGTTTTGGGTGTTTGCCAGGGTGTTGCTATGTGGTTGCTAAGGCGTTATGAATAGTTGTTAATGCATTGCTAAATGGTTGCTAGGGTGTTCTGGGTGGTTATTAGGTGGTTGCATAACAAAGCCCAAGCCAGACAAGAGTCTAAGACTCAGTGATATTCTGGTCTGTAGATATAGCTTCTGTCTCTCCTTTTGTGTAAGTCTGTGAGTTTTTTCCCCCAACAATTTTATCATCCTCTAGGTGAAGATTGTAAGTCTGATTTCTTTGAAAAGTAATTGCACACCTCTCCCCAACAAGCTATGTGATTTTGCAGTATCATTTATGCTTGCAGCACAAACGGTGGGGGGATGAGTTATGAATTTTAATACTTAAAATATACAGTATAATAGATTTTCTTTATAGTAGTTTACTTTATAATAGTTTACTTTAGCAAACACCACTGATAATGTGCTGTTTGAAATTAATTTGCAATGAAAACTGAGGTAGAAATCAAAATTATTTTCTGCAGTTATTGACACAGATGCTATCGATAGAGTTTAACATGAAAATTCCTTTAAGACAAGTTAATGGAATAGCTGCAGAGATGTTAGTAATTGACCTATAAGGTTGAGCCATGTTATAATACAAGACCTTCTCATGCTACACGA